CCTTGTTAATTGTCGTGGGCCACTCTGATGTTAGAAAACCTTATTCTTCAAGCAAGCAAGCATGATGGCTTTGATTCTTTTCTTTACAGCCTCTTAATCCTAATAAGCCTTTGTTATACATTTATGTCAAGTTGGCCTGACCTAGACTTGGTTCTGAATTCATGTGTACCATACCTTTCGTTTTATTCCTTTTGGATTAATTTTGCTAAAGTATGGGAAAATTTTGCCATAATTTTATTTTCCTGATTTTCCTCTTTTTTTGGTTTGCAGCTGCAAGTTGGGAACTTGGGCGAATGCGTGTTGAATATACGCGAAAGTTTTTTCGAAAGAAAGGTGAATTTTATTTATTAATTATTTTTTGGATTCTGTTTTTATTTTCTTGTCTTACTCTATGAATTTGAATAATTCTGAAGAAAATGGTATGATCCTTGTTAATTGTCGTGGGCCACTCTGATGTTAGAAAACCTTATTCTTCAAGCAAGCAAGCATGATGGCTTTGATTCTTTTCTTTACAGCCTCTTAATCCTAATAAGCCTTTGTTATACATTTATGTCAAGTTGGCCTGACCTAGACTTGGTTCTGAATCCATGTGTACCTTACCTTTTGTTTTATTCCTTTTGGATTAATTTTGCTAAAGCATGGGAAATTTTTGCCATAATTTTATTTTCCTGATTTTCCTGTTTTTTGGTTTGCAGCTGCAATTTCGGAATTTTGTCGAATGGAAGCTGAATATGTGCGAAAGAAACGTGAATTTTTGCGAAGGGAAGCTGAATTTATGCGAAGGGGAGCTGAATGTATGCCAAGGGAAGTTGAATTTTTGCGAAGCGAAGCTGAATTTTTGCGAAAGGAAGCTGAATGTATGCAAAAGGAAGCTAAATGTATGCAAAAGGAAGCTGAATGTATGCTAAAGGAAGCTGAATTGACACCAGGGGAAGCTAAATGTATAGAAATGGAACTTGAATTCACGCGAATGAAAGCTAATCTGATGCGAACTTACGCTGCTGAATTTATGCGAGGGGAAGCTGAATTTGAGACTTTTCTGAAAGCCCAAAACCTGGGTAAGAAAAAGAAAGAGGATGAAGAAGAGGACGAGGGGCCAGACGACGAAGGGCCGGAGGGCGGAGGGCTGGAGAAGGACGAGGGACCGGAAAAGGACGAGGGACCGGGGAAGGAGAAAGAAGAGGGAAAGAAACGAGCACCAGACTCTGCTTTGGAGGGTGGAAACGCACACAAGATTTTGAAGGCATATTTAGCATGCATGGCTCTGTTGACCGCATATTACGTTGTGCAAAGCATGGAGACAATCCCAATGCTTGTGTTGGTATGGGTTGAGGCTTCTAAAAAAACTGGAGAAACAAAGCTTTCTTATAATATTGATGATGGATTTGAACTGTCAGCGATTCGCGAATAGGGAAGTGTGTGTTTCCGTATATATGTTGGTTTTACCTCCATTGATCTGTTTGAGTAGGAGTGATGTTGATGTAGGAGAATTGGTATGAATTTAGGATTTTCTTTGAGGTATGATTGCTCATGTAAACCAGATCTGTTGTCCCGTATATCACCTGGCAAATGAGATTTCCATTTATATTAATTTTTAAAAAATCAATGAGTTAGCACCGAATCATTTGATCAAGTGACAATAATCACCTCATTGTGCACTCTTCCCTCCTCTTAGTTGGGTTCAATCAAACTTGTTGTCAACCTGTTTAAAAAAAAAAATTAATGAGGTAAATTTATATTATTGGGTATATTAATTTTTTTTTAAAAGTTGATAATTATAATGTTCCGAGTCGTATGATTCGTACAAGTTTATCCCTGACACCACGTTTCCCGCTGGTCAACAACACATCTGTAAGTTGACTATCATATCTTTATCTAGTACTCTCTCTATCTCTACACACAGAACAGTCTGGCCCATATAATCTTCAACCCGCGAAACCTCAACGGTCGGATCTCTCCCAAAACCCATTTTCCTCCTTCGTCTCTTCCTTTCCACCCTCTCTCTCTCACTGCAAGAAAAATGATTCAGAGCCAAAGAAGCAATCTTGAACATATGAAATCTTCGCATGGATTGTTGGTATAACGTAAATAGTGAAGGGTAATAATGGGTGTGGGAGGCAAATTTTGGGAACTTCTAAAACCCTACGGGCGCCATGAAGGGTTTGATTACCTGAGGGACAAGCGGGTTGCTGTGGATCTCTCATTCTGGATAGT